CATGTCAGTGTTCTATAACGTAACAGTTGTTCCCTAGTTTGGCTGCAGATAATTAATATTTTTCACTCTATGAAAAATCTTGATGCGTTCAATCTTCTCGTCTCTAGGCAACTAGGTGATCGTAAGGACCTGCTGAAAATGACTTGGGGCAAGGATGCGTTCTCTAAAACCAAAAAACGGGTGGAAAACACAGTTTCGCAGACTGAAGCGTACTTAAAGGTTAGTTATTCTAATTGATAGTACAACAAATATTTTTATATACGGCTGCAAAGAGTGGTTGCTTTTTCAATGCTGAAAAATGCTAAACAATTTATTCAAAAGTCCATATAATTTTGTTATTTTTTGGCATAATTTTTACTTTTGAACGTTTTCTTTGCGTGTAGTTAACTGCAAATAGCAAACCAATTATTTACTTTTGCTGAACTAGGTCCTTTTGATGCGTCGTCTTCCTTAGACCTGTGTTAGCAAGAAAAGTGAAACGTTTCGCGTTATGATTGGTTGTTTTTCGTTATTACTTTTTTTCGTTAGAAATTTTTTGCTTCAAACTTATTCCGAATAGCAAGTCTACCTGCACACATGTGAGTCCTGTAAATTATGAAAAAAAAAATTCAATAGTACCTTTCAATTATGAGTTCAAGATTGGCGCGGTTATGTCCCGTAGGATTAATATGATAATCAGGTTGTTTATTTAAAGAATGGAAGAAAACTGTGCAGGCCAGACGCGAACGCTAATTGTGTGGTTCGGTATCCAAACGAATTTGAAAAGGTCAGAAGGAGTTCTCTGCACTTTTAAACCGTTACCAAACTAAGAGAACCTTTAGAATACATCATAATTAAAATGGAAACTTTCAGAAAACATTGCTGGAGTCGCTGTGCGTGTATTTTAGTTGGGCAGTCCTGTTGATATTCGCTCACATTAGACAGTTTTTAACCAGCCACGGATTTACAAGCACTTGTGAGGCAGAAGAATTACCCAGGCAGAAAGTAGGTTACAAATGTGAAGTATTAGTTCTGCACACTTATTCGCAAATTTACAGAGGGTTTAGCATCCGTGTCTATATTTCTAGCTTCCTGTTACATAAAAGGTTTTCTTTAAAAAAAAAAATGCTAAAACATCACCGAGGAGATGTAAGCGCATAGAAATTTAGGGATTTGTGCTCTTCTCAAGTCGTTCTTTGGTACTAGGACAGAGTATTCTGAGAGTGGCTACAGGAATCTTTTTATAATTCTGCTGAGAAACTTTTACTGTTATACTGTCAACAGCAGCAAAAGTATCTTATGATCTCTTTAATAAGGTTACAAGAATGTTAAAAAAAATTAGTGTATTTGTCATTGACGTGATCATACTCAGTCTATGAAATTGTAGGTAGTGCTAGAGAAGCGCTTGAGCGGCATTTTAATCTAAGACTACTTCGTTTTGTAGTCAGGCTTTTTCAGAGCTTTGCTCCACTTTATGACGGTTTGATGCCTGTATACGCACGCCACTGCTACATGCGAGTAAGAGATGTTTTTGAGCGACCAATTGGAAGTGTTGCCGGTGCTACTGTTGAACTACTGGACCGTTACACTACAGACTACTGCTTGACGTTCAAGTAAGAATTCAAAAGGGCCTGTATAAATTAAGGTTTACTCAGCAACTTAAGCAGTCCTTCTAACTTTCTCTTCTTTCTTGTGAAGCAAAATGATGATAGCTGCTTTTAGATTCACTGGTACAAAATCAGAAGTTATAAATATGGGGTCATACAATTACCTCGGGTTTGCACAGAATAATGGGCCTTGCGCAGATGCTGCAGCAGCAATAATTGACAAGCAAGGACTTTCAACTTGCAGCACCATTATGTCTGCAGGTACAGCGATTTACGCAATAGGACTTTGACACTTTAAATCCATGGAGTAATCACTAAATTGATTACCGTTGTTTAGTGATTTTATCTGTTTAAAATACGTCTCTATTTTCAACTAACAGAGAGGTTTCTTCAGGCTACTCGCCTATCCAGCGTGACCTGGAAAAGCTAGTAGCTCGTTTTGTTGGGGCGGAAGCAGCAATATGTTTCAGTATGGGGTACGCAACAAACTCAATGAATATTGTGTGCTTCGCAGACAAGGCAAGCGCGTTGTGAACGACTTTGCTTGTGTTAAAAATTAGTTTTCTCTTACTCCTTTTTACATGCCAGCGAAAAGATAATAAGTACAACACTTCAGGACTCCTTAATAGTTAGCGATGAACATAATCACATTTCTCTTATCCTTGGTGCTCGTTTAACTGGGGCTAAAATCAGTGTGTTCAAACACGATAGTAAGTTATCATATCATAAAGCAATTGCGCACGTTCAGTACTCCGTAATTTTGTTACGCATTAGGAAAGTCCATGGATATATGCCCAAACGTGAAAGTTAGTGTGCCTCAAAACAGTTCTTACCTTTGTAGATATGGAAGATCTAGAGCGGATAATGAAGAATGCCATTGCATACGGTAACCCAGGAACTGGTCATCCTTATAAAAAAATTTTAGTCATTGTTGAAGGAATATATTCAATGGAAGGATCGATATGTAATTTACCAAAGCTTATTGAACTTAAGAAAAAATACAAGGCATATTTGTATTTGGACGAGGCACATTCAATTGGTCAGTATTTAGAGCTGCATTTCCTTGTTTTATGCAAATGAAAAAAGTTCAACCTGAGCAATTACCAGATCATGTAAGTGATTTTAGGAGCCCTCGGAGCAACGGGACGAGGAGTTGTTGAGTATTGGGGTTGTGACCCTCACGATGTTGATATCCTTATGGGCACATTTACAAAGAGTTTCGGAGCATCGGGAGGATATATAGCGGGTCTTAAAGTAAAGTTGTCATATCTTTTAAAATGGTATACTCCACAATAGAGCGACATTATCATATCATTAGATAGAGGCAAGGAATTACATAATTTTTTAGGAAACCATCGACTACATCCGTCGGCACTCACATACCAGCTACTATTCATTGCCTATGTCTCCTCCAGTAGCAGAGCAAGTGTATGCTTCAATGTCGACACTTATGGGCCTCGACGGTACAAATGATGGTAGCCATTAGTATGATGGATTTTAGGATTTACGTTACATGAGTGTTTATGAGTCATTATTGGTAACTCATCGTATTCTTTTTTGGCTGAGCTGTGACTAATAAGGATTTAAAAAACTCATTTCCGGCAAACCGTTTCTAAAAGTCCTATCCTAGGTCAGAGGAGAATTGAGCGGTTAGCTCGGAACACAAAGTATTTTCGAAGGCAGTTAAAGCAGATGGGTTTTTTGGTCTATGGATCCGATGACAGCCCAGTAGTTCCAGTATTACTATATTATCCAGCGAAGTGCGGGTACATAAATCCTTTCGTGTTTATCTCTTTTACTGTTCTGATCTGGGTAGAAGCCTCATTCAAGACACACGATGTAATCACTACCCATATAACCACCAAAATGAAAGAACATTTTTAGGTTTTGGGGTAGAGAAATGTTAAAACGCCAAGTCGGCGTGGTGGTAGTCTCTTATCCAGCAACAGCGATGACTGAAAGTCGAGTACGGATTTGTCTGAGTGCAGCACATACCAAAGAAATGCTTGACAGAACTTTAATTGCAATGAAAGAAGTTGGAGAATTAACTAGTGTTTTTTATTCGAGGAAAAGATTAGATATCGGAATCGGTGATATTCAGTGGTAGTATGGAGACTATGGAAGAAACTGTAGCT